GACAGCTGGGCAACAAGCTCTGAGAGTCTCCACTTGGTGTCTGGCCCTCTTCTCCACGAGCCTCCGAGGGACACTCCTCAGTCCCTGAGCAGATAGGGGATGAACCACCAGGGCAGGACCGCCCAGCTGCGTCAGGGAAGGTTCCAGTGTTTCTCCCAGGCAGCTGAAACCAGCGGTCTATGGGGCCTCCCAGTCCCAACAACAGGTGAGAGCCCTTTTCACTGACATTTCCTATGCAGGTTTCCCAAAAAAAGAAGCAAAGGAGATCTGGGTCTTGCCCTTAGAGAGGTCAAGTATGTGGGGCCTGATCATTACCAAATTATAATCGGGGCCCAAGGGTGTATTCTGTACACCCAAACTGGGAGGGTCAGGCATGATTCCCAGAGGAGGTGGCCCTTGGAAGATGGGCAGGTTTTCCTGAGCCAAGAGGTGCAGAGCAAACCCACATTACAGAGTAAGAACTGTTGGGGTCAGGAGGAGGTCAGAAGCCAATGGTTGCAGGGCCCTGGCTCTGAGCACGACTGCAGCAGAAGTGAAGGCCTGGCAATGCCTTTCTTTGCTTCCTCAGTCGCTGCTACTGAAGCTTTGTCAAGGCCTGTACGTTTCACATGACACTGAAGGAAATGAGGGAAGTGAGGTTGTTTTCTCCCTCATCATCTCTGTTGGTAGCTCAAAGCCTGACACCAAAAAGGTACTTCCAGTTCAGCACAGTGGTGAGAACACAGGCTTTGCATTCAGATGGACCTGGGTTTGAATCCTGACTCCTCAATTCAACTGGCTGTGTGACTCAGGCGAGTCGCTTAGTAATTAAGCCTCAGTTTCCTAACCAAAAAATGGGAATGATGATGCCTGCCTCCATAAGACTGGTATGAAAATTACATTAGTGAACATAAAGTGCCCCCAAATAACGTGAGTCTTGCTGACCCTTGATGAAATGAAAGAGGGACCACACAGCCACACAACACTCAGCAGTCCCTGGTGGAGGCTGCCCCGCCTAGTCTTTGGCCCAAGCCAAGGAAGCTGACAGAGCCCACAAAACAGCCGTGGACGTCAGCAGGTGTACATACATGCTGTCCCTTCTCACCGACAAGCCGCCCTGTGCACCAGGCCCACAAGGCCAAATCCACTCCCCCAGGAGGAGGTGTCCTTCCCCGGACTGAGAGGCCATGCTGACAGCCCCACACCCTGCTTCCTCCCAGAGCTTCACTGCCTCCATGCCTGAGCCCTACCTCTCCCTCAGTCCCCAGGGCGAAGCCATCACCCCCATCCTGAACACGGTGCCTGTGGGCTCTGTGGGGCAGGCACCGCGTCTGTCATCTTTACCAATACATTTCTTGCACCTACCACAGTTCCTGACACATGACAGTCGCAGGGTAAATGTTCACTGACCTGGTCCTGACTCCATTCCCATAGCCACCGCTGGCTCTGAATTAACCATCGCCTCCATGTACCTTACTGTCATTTCCCTTCTGCAGTTTCTCCTTACTAGTCCTCCCTGTACACACTCTCAGGATGCCCTGACTGAAGCCCAACTCTGACCAGGTCATTCCTCTGCCCAAACATTCCCATGCTCCCCCTCAAACAGCTCAGCCACCCACATCCATGCCAGTGGCCCTCACTCCCGTCAGCCTACCCCTCTAGTATGCCTGCTCCCTTGCTCTCTCAGCACCTCCATCACCCAACGCTCAGCAGGAGTGCCCATCAAGTAGGCCCCACAGGCTCCTCCTGCTACACATACCTTAGAAAGAGGCTCAGGAGACCCCTCAAGGACCTCGGGTCATCTGTGATTTTGTACACTGAGCTACAGCCCCATGGCACTGTGGGAGAACCAGGCAGATCCTGGAGATGGCTAAGCTGTGGGATCTGCAGAACCCTTGCCCAGCATCACCAATGCCGCCTCACGGCCCCCAACCAATATACATACCACTCCCCATTCGAGGCTGGCAGCTCCTCACACAGTTAATTAGCACCATGTCACTGAGGACCAGACTGAGTGGCCAGTGACAGGAGCTGACCCATGACCCCAGGGCTAGGAAATAGTCCACATCAAACTCTTACAGCGCGACCCTTTTAGCACGCACAGTAACTCGGGGCACCGCCAGCTGAAGCTCATTAAAGCTGTCTCTTTGGTGCGAGGGCCATTAACCTCACTGCTCAAAACCCACACCTCCCCTCCCCGCCTCTCCCAGCCCAATTAATGCCCTGCATCCTCCCTCCCTTCCAAGCACCCTCACCCACACCTCAGAGCCAGCCAGAAGCTGGCAGGGCAGCCCTCTTCATTCAAAGATACAAAGACCAAGTGCCAGGAACCACCAGTGCCCTGGGGAGGCCCTGGTGTTGGCAGGGGAACAGGACAGGGGGCTCCTTGAGCACCCACTCACTGTGTGCAAGGCACTGCACCAGCCCTTTACATAGCTGACTTCACTGAACGTTCCCAACAGCCCTGAGAGGCAGTAGTGCTGTCCCTTGTCTAAGGTCACAGGGCTCTGGATGGAGAGCTAGACTTTGTTTGGCTTCAAAGCCCTTGCTCGGTTGTCACTCATAGCCTTGGGCTGTTCCCTGGGGCCCACCTGAATAGAAAAAAATCTGTGAAGAAGGAAGGAATACCTCAGGGGTCCTAACCTAGAATCAACATGGGTGAACAGGCAAAAGGGGCACCACTGAGTCCCAAGAGGCAGTAAAGAGTGGGAACAAGGAAGCCCTTCCTCTCACAAACACACCCTGGACAGATACACAAAACCCAGCTCCAGGCTGTGCAGGGTGAGTTATCCCAGTCCGTCCCACTGGTCCCCCGCCTCCACTGGCCAGACTCAGTTACTGTCCTCCCAGAGCCAATACAAGTCCTCTCACTGGTCCTCATTCTCTGGTCCCTCCCTTTCCCATTCCTCTTTCATTGATTCATCAACTCACTCGCTCGTTCATTCATCCACCCATCTGACTGCATTTGGAGCACCTACTAAGAACTCATTTGTACAGCACAAGCTGCCTCAGTGATTCTGAATCAGAGCTCTGATTGTGTCGTTCTCTCACAAACTTCCTCTGTCTCATCAAAACCTCACGAGAAATGCAACCCCTTTAACCTGGCTTTTGAGGCCCACTTATTCCCCCTGGATTTTCTAGCCATTCCCTAACCCGAAGTGTTGTTTCTACTCCAGTCACTGGAAACTACTTGTAGATGTGTGAACGTGTCCTCTCCATATGCCACAATTCCTCATGCCCTTGGGCTCTGTAACACACACTTCCCTCTAAGTCAGTGGTTCTCAACCTGGGGGTCAAACGACCCTATCACAGGGGTCACCTAAGACCATCGGAAAACAAAAAGATATTTACATTACAATTCATAACAGTAGCAAAATTACAGTTATAGAGTAGCAACGAAAATAATTTTATGGCTGGGGGTCACCACAACATGAGGAACTGTATTAAGGGGTTGCAGCATTAGGAAGGTTGAGAACCGCTGCTCTAAGTAGAAAACCCTTCCCCCATTTTTCTGCCTAACAAACTCCTATTCATCCTTCAAAGGTTCCCTGACTGAAGCGTCTTCTTCTCTAGGAAACTTAACTGCGGACCTCCCAGGCATATCACCTTGCTGATTGTGGTCTCCTCTGATTGTCTGGAATAGCTACTATGGGAGGGAACAGCAGTTGCTGTGGAGCACCCCCAATTCCCCAGGCCCACCGAAGGTTTCCTCTTTCCCGCCAACAAGAATGATAAAGGGCATCCCAGACGTCAGTGAGATGTAAACGAAGGAGTAGAAGCCACCTGGGCAACTGAGGACAGAGGAAACCTCCCTTAGGGCAGCCCTGGTGTTTCTCCCATAGCCCTTAGTGTCCTGGGTGGCAACTGCCCAGTTCAGTCGCTGTCTCCTCCCAGGATGGGAGCTCCCCAAGGACAGGAACTTCCACTCAGCATGCCTAGAACCCACGTGGCACCGGTGATGTTTGTGGAAAAGATGAGGGGCTCGTCTGTAGCACGCAACTGGGCCCTTTTTGTGTATCTTGCCAGTCTCCTCCCCTCCGTACCCAATACTCCCCAAAGGTACACAGGTTACAATAATGCTGCAGCGTCACCCAGGAATACCTTCGTTCCTCCCTCGTTGGAACAAAGCCTATGCCTGTCAAGTCCTCTGCTTGACAGCATCTGCATGCACATGTGTGCGCACGCACACACACTAAGATACGCAGAAATGAACAGACATACTTTCTGGTTGCTTCCATATACAGACACATGCACACAGAAAAATGTACACAGATACACTGTTACACACACACACACACACATCCCTCAGATATACACATACACGGACACGTATGTCCTCTTAGATGGACACACAGAGACACGCAGCTGAAGGTGTCAGGAACACACACACAGTCACGTATCCACACTGACAGACCGAAGGCTAGCAGTCTCCAATGCCTAGAGAGCCAGAGCCACTCCAGCCCCCTCCCAAGAAGGAAGTCCCCTGAGGGTGTACCCCCGCCGGGTACCCCAAGTGGCCCCTCCCAACACAGGCACCGCTCAATGGAGGCTGCTGCTCCTGCGGGGGAGTCAATACCCTGTGGATGGAGCCATCGGTCAGAAGGACCCTGACTAATTAAAAGCTGGTGAGGTTTAAATAATTCATCTCCTTAACTCCCATTGATCGCCCAGTTTAGTGGCCACAGACTTGAAACAATATTAAACAGCCTCCTCCAGCTCCATGGGGGGTGGGTAGGCTGACATGTGCCCACCCCTCTGAGGACATCAGCCACCAGAGATGCAGCCAGGGGCGGGAGTACCTTGGCTTGCATCCAAGGCCACCTGTGGCCCACCCGAAGCTCAGACCCCAGCCTCCTCCTCATATTGTTTTGAGAGACCCTTTCCAATGGCCTGGCTCCACTCCCCTTTCCCGCTCCGCCCAGCTGTGGAACCCACTGGACAAACCCCTCTGTGCGCTGGGGGACTGAGGCATGTGGGCAGGGGACTGACCGAGCTGCCAGGGGGACAGTGGAGGGACTGACCAATGCCGCTGTGGGGCCGACCTATGTGTTGCAGGCTGAGGCCCTTGTTCATGTCTAGAAGTCCATTCTTGGGCCAGCAGCCCATGGCGAAGCTGTAAGCCTGGAAGACAGGAGGCAAGAATGGTTAACAGAGGCCCTGACCCCTGAACCAACCCCATCACTCACCTGCCACCCACCAAATCTCCCCCCGAGGGCTCACTCTCAGCGTGCCTCTTCAGACGAGCCCCCTCACTGGGCCCTCTTTCTCCCAGAAAACCCCTTCCTCCTCCAGACCTCCCTTTCTCTTGGGCATTTCCCCAACTAAGGCCCCAGTCCTCACTGGGGGCCCCTCCCCAGCGCCTCTAGAGGGCTCCCATTTACTAAGACCCTCCTAGTCAGGACCTCGCGCGTCATCAGGGCACGCCCTTCACCAGGCACTCCTTCGATTCCCTCCTCTCCAGAGTCCCTAACACACTGCTGGGGCCCCCTCCCCAAAGTATTACTGGTTACAGAGATGTGACAAGAAGCATTTGGAGACCAATATATTCAAACTTCATTCCACAGATAGGAAAACTGAAGCAAGAGGGGGCCAACGACCTGCCAGGTGGTCAAGCTGCCTTTCACCCAGAGACAGGTGAGGCTATAGAAGGCTGAGTGCTACGTGGGGGCTCAACTGAGGACGAGTAAGGTCACCTGCTTGACTCAAGCAGCTGTGAGGGGAGCGCATGAAGTGTGTGTGTGTGACTGTGACTCTGTGTGTGTGTGTGTGTGTGTGCGCGTGTGCGTGTGTGCGTGTGTGTGTTAGGGGAAGCAGATCTCTGCTGAAGGTCAAGTGCTCACTTATGCATATTCAAAGCGGCCACCCATCGATCTATACTTAATTGTTTTCCTGGGGTTGGGGAAGGAAGTGCTGGGGGCATCGATCTGTGCAGCCCCCAGCACTTCATTGCCCCCCTCCATCCCCTACTCACGCCACCTGGCCACCACCAACCTCCATGGGTGGGGGCACATGGCAGGACAGGGATGGTACCTTCTCTTACAGTCCCTTAGAGGCATGATGACCTGATGTCACAGATGAGGAAACTGAGGCCCAGAAAGAAGGAAGGGACACACAAGGGTTAGAACACTATTAAGCGGCCCAACAGGGATTTAATTCCTGCTTAGCCAGCTAGCAAAGTCCTGGGCTTCTACCAGTGGGCTTGTGTAGCTAGCTAACCCTTCAAACACTACCCACCCCCTCAGCTCAGAAGTCCCCAAACACCAGATGCCCTTCTCCTAGTGGCAAGAAGCATGCGGGACAGTAGTCAGTGGGAATAAAGCTTGGGTGAAGTCCTCAGAAATTGGCTGGTGAGTCCACTGACGAAACTAAGGGACATGGTCACTTTGGCAGGCACTGCAGTGCCCCCGCCCATCACTGGGCCCAGGAGGTCCCCATCCCACTTCAGACTCCTTCACAGGCTCAGAAACAAAAGGCAGGACGCTGGACGCAGAGTCTGTGCCAGGGCCAAGGAGCTGAGCTGAGGGCTAGTACCCTTCGTTCCCAGTTGTAGGAACTAGGCCTCGACCCCTCGGGCACTGAAAGGCTACGACCCCGTGTAGTTCAACCTCACACCTTCCAAAGCCATTTTCCTTGACCACAGCGGTACCAGCCACAGCTCAACTTCCCAGCCAACCCTCCCGCCCTTCCCTGGGTCACAGCTGTACCCACAAATCGGGGGCGGAGTGTGAGGCTCAAGGACAGGGGAGAGCACGCTGGCTTTGAGCCAGGGCAGAGTTGGGGAGCGCAGGCAGCAAGGGAAAGCAGCCAGTCGGTGGTGCACAGCTGGAGAAGCTGCTGAGCGTGGCCAGGGCCACGGCTGGAGCGCAGTGGGCCAGAGAGCAGTGGCGGGCCGGCTTTCAAGTACTTTAAAATCACTTACAAAGGCCGGATTAAACGATCAGAAATTCCATTTAATAGGACAAATAAAGAAATAACAATCTACTCTATCAGCCTGGAGAAGGCGAGCTGGATGGGTTTTTTTTCCCCCCTCTAAAAAGGAAAAAGGGAAGGAAGGGGAAAAAAGAAGGATAATGTGTGTTTACTCAAGCAAAGAAAAAAATATTTAAGTGATGTCGGGGAGAAGATTGCAGTAACTAGTGAAGAATAACATCGTCTACTTTGCTGTCAAATCACACCCGAATTTCAGTAATAGATTCTCGGCTGACACTCAATTCAATTCGAAGGTGATCCTGCTTTATCCCAGCCCATCAAATATTAAACACTTGCATTAGCAGGTGCTGCCGCTTCCCGGCTTAAAGCGACGGGCGGCGGGCAGCAGGGCTGCTGAGGCCCCTCTGCTCTGCTCACGGCTCGGGGGACAGGGCAGCTCAGTGTTATCTGCACGTCATCCTGAGTCTTATCGCAGCTAAGCGGGAAGACCACTTCAGATAACATTAGACGCTTGCCC